GGCGGCCAAAGCAGCGGCGGGCTGTGTGGGCGCCTCCACACCTCTCCCCTACACGGTCACCGGTGCGAAGAACGTAGGGGCAGGGACCAAGCGCACCACCACGCTGACGCTGCAGGTACCACTCACGGAGCTGCTGAGGGGCGGGGACGGTGCGAGAGCGCTGCTGCTGCTGTGGCTGCTGCTGCGGCTGCTGCTGCTGGTGCTGCTGGCGCTGACCACCCCCAGAGCTGCTCCGCTGGGACGAGCCACTCCGACCCCCGCCTCCACCGCCACCCCCGCCTCCACCGCCGCCACCAGTACCTCCACTCCCGCCACCACCCCCACCGCCACCCCCACTCCCCCCGCCACCCCCACCGCCTCCTCCACCGCCCCCTCTAGCTCCACCCGCTCCCTTGCCCCCCTTGCCCTTGCCAGAGCGGCGTCTGCCGCTGGGGGCAGACGCCGCGCCGACCGACTCAAAACCAGTGAGGTTGGCCGCAGCGGCAAAGGCGACAGAGGGCAGCAGGGGGGAAGGACCACACCCCTCAAAGATGGGGGTGCGAGGGTCACCCCGAGAGGCCCCTACAGCGACAATACTCTTCTCAGCCGCTAGCAGGGACTCCTCAAGGAGGTCGACAGTGAGAGTGGTGGGACAGACAGAGAGAAACTGGTCCCTAACGACACGAAGGGACTCAGGGAGACGGGTGACGAGAAAGTAGAGAGTGATGTACATGGGAGGAGGGTTCGCAGCGCGGAACTCAGCAGGAAGGGCAGCGCGGTAGCGGGTGTCACTAGCACGGAGGTGGGTAACGAGGTCAGCAACAGTGGGAAAGGAGGCGAGGTCAGGGAAGAGAAACGGTAGCATGAGGCGGCTAAGGGTAGCAGAGGAAGGGGAGGAGTAGCGTGCAACTACAGCGTTGTACAAGGCCTGAGCGGTCTTGCACTGACTAAAGTGGGCACGCTCAGAGGAAGGGAGGTGGCGACGCACAGCAAGACGTGCAGCAGCATCGCGGGTCGCCCACTTGGAGCGAACGGCAGAGTCAGCATCAGCAGGTGGGGCAGGGACAGCGCCAGAGACAAAGTCAAAGAGAGAGACCTCAGCTATCGCATCACACAGTAAGTACAGCTGCAGGTCTTCAATCCAGACGGCAAAGTCAATGGCCCTCCCCTCAGCGTCAAAAGTAAGAACATTGGGGGTGGCCATGGCAGCAGCTGAAAGTCTCACCGGGCTGGGAGAGTCGGGTAGGTCAGCAGCAGAGGAACACAGCTCAGGAACAGCGGCACGGCTCGGGCGGCTCGGGTTGCTGGGGCGGCGCGGGCGGCTCGGGCGGCTCGGGCGGCTCGGGCGGCTCGGGCGGCTCGGGCGGCTGGGGCGGCTCGGGCGGCTCGGGCGGCTCGGGCGGCTCGGGTTGCTGGGGCGGCGCGGGCGGCTCGGGCGGCTCGGGCTGCTGGGCTGTACGGGCGGCTCGTGCGGGGCTGGTGTCGCGACGGGCGGCTCGCTGGCGGCTCGCGGGCGGCTGCACAGGCGGCTCAGGGACGGCGGCGCGGGCGGCTCAGGGAGCTCACGGGCGGCTGCGACGGGCGGCTCGCGGGCGTCGGGCGCTGGGGCGGGCGGTCGGCTGTCAGGGCGCTAGGGCGGGCTGCGTTCGGGCGCTAGGGCGGGCGGCCGTCAGGGCGCTAGGGCGAGTGGCGCACGGGCGCTAGGGCGGGCGGCCGTCAGGGCGCTAGGGCGAGCGGTGCTCGGGCGCTAGGGCGGGCGGCCGTCAGGGCTCTAGGGCGGGCGGCGCTCGGGCGCTAGGGCGGGCGGCGCTCGGGCGCTAGGGCGGGCGGCGCTCGGGCTCTAGGGCGGGCGGCGCTCGGGCGCTGGGGCGGGCGGCCGTCAGGGCGCTAGGGCGGGCGGCCGTCAGGGCGCTAGGGCGGGCGGCCGTCAGGGCGCTAGGGCGGGCGGCGTTCGGGCGCTAGAGCGGGTGGCCGTCAGGGCACTAGGGCGGGGCGGCCGTAAGAGGAGTGAGCGGCGGGAGCGCGACGGTAGGGGCGACACGCAGGGTCGCTGAAAAAAAAGAACGCGCGCCTCGGGGCGCGCTTCGGTGGGCCCTAGGAACAGTCCCTAGGAGGGGACCTGCTCTGATTCCATGAGAAGAATTGAACGAGAATGAAATGACTATGAACGAAGTGAATACAAATAGGAAACCCTAATTGGGTTGTACCCCCTATGGGATACCCCACTATAGCCTACACAAATGAGTAAGCTATATGTTCTGACAACAGTGAAAATTTCAAGTCACCTTGTCCTTGGAGTGACTTGGAAACAACGTATGGTCATCTTCTGTGGTGGCAATAGAGCTTACAGAGCAGGATGACGAAGACATATGTCGCGCGCTCCATCTGAAACTAGTAATGTTTATCATAAAACGATGGTGTTGCCGTGATGCAGACGCTTTTGCGGGATGCGAGGCATGTGGCAGCATGATGATGACCCAACGATGCGGGTTGGATCAGAGGCATTGGCAGGACGAGGGAGGCGACTTTCATGACGTCAGGCGGGTTTGATGGGATGTCAGCTCCACGTGGTTAGGAACTTGACGTGTCTCAACTTTGGTATGGACGCTTACCTATTGTCGTCCCCTTGGTGACTCAGCTTTGTGTACGGGCGAAGATGCCTGCAGTAGGATGTGCCCAATGGTTACTAGAAACCTATTTTGAAAATGTTTCGAGGCAGACATACAAGGGCTCATGGTTTACGGTGTTGAGGCCTTGTGATCATGTAGTGCGCGTTCCCTTGCGGTCATGTTTGAAGTCTGCGTCCAAGACCTGTAATTCGGCTAATGTCATTGCTGTCGCCAACGGAATCTGCGACAGCACTATGTGCACCAGATGGAATTGTCGTGTCTATAAAATGAGTGTGTGATACACTCTCCTAGTACCCCGCTCGTGAAACTAAATGACACCTCGCGAACCTGAATGACACCGTAACAAATAGGCGGGACACACAACTCATACTCTATGCGTCTGAAGGGCGTGTCGGCAGGAATGGCAGGCAAATGAGGCCACTCTTTCATCGAGAGTTACTGGCACATTTTTCCCGTGGTGATCAATTCGCCTTTTCGGGCAAAACTATCGCCCAAAATTTAGAATTTCCAATTGGCTGGGGTGAAGTGAAATAAATCCATTGTTTCAGCAGCAAGCAACATTCGACCGTACAAAGACAGCTGACTCAGCAATGTTCACAAACCTGTGAAAATAGTAGTAGTAGAAAGAGCCATAGCCTGGAAAGCCCTAGCTAGGCAAGAAACGATTTAGGGAAAAGAGGGGGATCACTAGCAGCAATGAGGATACAAATAGCAAACCCTAGAAGGGTTGTACTCGCTATAGAGCACCCCACTACAGGCTAGAGAACAATAACATTCTGACACACCCCCATAGCCAAAGTGGGGTGTAATCAGCAGAGCAAGCAAAGTAGAATAAGCTCAGGGTGGATCATAATGTCACAACACATTCTGAGCACAAGTTCAAGAAGCAAGAGTTTAAAGTTCACAATAATGAGCAAAGCTAGAGTCATTCACAAAGGGCAAGTGAGGAGGAGGAGGCAAGACTATAAGAGGAGAGGAGATAGGAGGCGAGGACTGAAGCTGCTGACACACGGGCAACAGGAGGCACATTGGCACAGCGGCTACCGGAACAGCGCTCCGGAGTACTGGAGTAACTGGCCCCGCGGCTAAAAGTAGCGGCAGACGAGCAACGGACCCACGGGCGACTGGCACAGGTGGCTACGACTGGGCTACCGGAGCAACTACCCGGACTACAGGTGCTGCCGGCGATACGACGGCAACCTCCGATCAACCTCCCCAAATAGTCCCACCCCTTTTGACACACACCTGCTGCTTCACCCCTAGCTCCACTCCCCCTTCAACCCCCCTTAGTACCACTCCGATGGCTCCAACAGGTCCACCCTCCCCCGCAGCGGTAGCTGCAGCACTGGGAGACGAAAGAGGAGGAGGAGCAGAGAACGGCACACAGAAGTTGCACCCCCATACCCCTCACCCCGAAACCCTAATATAGAGGAAAGGGCAGAAGAAGGGGTGGGGCCCAAGCAGAGGCACGGGGATCAGCGGGTAGGGCAGGGGCAGCGAAGAAAGGGCCGCCAACGGGCCTGGCACAGCCGCTCGAACCGCGCGCAGGCGGCCCGAGCCGCGCGCGGGCCTGGCGCAGCCCGTACGGGCCGAGCGCTGGCCTGGCGCAGCCCGTATGGGCCGCGGGCGGGCCTGGCGCAGCCCGTACGTGCTGCGCGCAGGCTGTACGGGCCGCGCGCAGGCCACGACGGGCGACGGGGGGCGACGCGGAGGTCCCCATCGCCCGTCGCAGCGCCTCCTAGGAGAGACGCGCGGCGTGACGGGGTAGAAACCAGCCGCGCGCCTCGCGGCGCACGATGGGAAGAGAACCGCCGCGCGCCTCGGGGCGCACGGCAGACAGAGGCGCGCGGCGGGATGAAAAATCCGTTTAAGGCAGTAGCAGTTGCAGCGGAAGCTATGAGGTGGGGCCCACAGGCCAGGAGCATATCGCTCTGATACCATGTGAAAATAGTAGTAGGAGAAAGAGCCATAGCTAGGAAAGCCCTAGCTAGGCAAGAAACGATTTAGGGAAAAGAGGGGGATCACTAGCAGCAATGAGGATACAAATAGCAAACCCTAGAAGGGTTGTACTCGCTATAGAGCACCCCACTACAGGCTAGAGAACAATAACATTTTGAGAAAACCATCTCGATGCTCGCCAGCAAACAAAACACCCCTCGCCCTTGTTTAGGTGCGCAAGGGTTGTAGCGAGCCCGTTCGGTCCGCTTGATCTTATTTGCCTCAGAACGCCTCGATTCGTACCACGTCCACCAGAGGTTTGACATGTTCCCACATAGCATCAAGCCCGTTCGAGGCAAGCTCGGCATGCGAAGCTGCCGCCCCAAAGCTGACTTAGCCACTAGGCGTGAACTGTAGCACACGAACCTGCGCTAAGGATTCCCCCTATTTATTATGGTGTCGTTCAGTTTCGCGAGGGTGTTGGTCTCTCCTAGGTGCTAACTTTGCCTGTTTGGGGTTGCACAATGGTGTGCAGACTTGCTCGTTTGCATGTTTTACTGGCGACAACAGCGATGTTTCGTTATTGCTGAAACTTCAAATAACAACACAGGGAACGCGCACTATACGAAGCAAGTCCCTTCACACCAAAATCACCCGCAAAAAGGTTTCCAACAACCAAGGCACTACTAGTCATACGCCACACTTCAATGCTTACATAGCCAAGTCAGCAAAGTAGGAGACAACGCAAGCGCAAGTTATGTCACGTGGAAGGTGACACCCCATCAAACCCGCCTCCTTCCCCACTTCCTTCGCGATCTCGATTATATGCTGACGTGTTCCAACATGAAAGTCGGCCAATCGGGAGGTAATCTGTCGAACTTATATGCTATAGTCTGTGTAGGCTGCAGTGGGGTAGACTATATGGGGTACAACATTTCTAGGTTTTCCTACTTGTACCCACCTGCTTGCTAGTTCATTCATTCCTCATTCTTCACATGGTATAGAGCAGGTTCCCTCATGGGAACGCTTCTCAGGGCCCACCACCTAACTCGACTTTTTTTTTTCCTGCCCGAGGCGCGCCCCGTAGGCCGCCCTCACGTCGCGCCCTCCTAGAGGCCCCTCGCGCCACCCTTAGCGGCCCCGTCGCCATCCTTTCCGGCCCCGTCGCCATCCTTTCCGGCCCCGTCGTCGCCCCTCTAGGCCCCTCGCGGCCCCTTCCCGGCCCCGTCGCCGCCGCTCTAGGCCCCGTCGCCGCCCCTCTAGACCCTTCGCGGCCCCTTCGCGGCCCCGTCGCCGCCCCTAGCGGCCCCGTCGCTGCCCCTCTAGGCCCCTCGCGGCCCCTTCGCAACCCCGTCTCCGTCACTTGCGGCCCCGACGCCGCCCCGTCCTCTAGGCCCCTTACGGCCCCTTCGCGGCCTCGTCGCCGCCCCTCTAGGCCCCTCGCGGCCCCTTCGCGGCCCCGTTGCCGCCACTTGTGGCCCCGTCGCCGCCCCCCTCTACGCCCCTTACGGCCCCTTTGCGGCCTCGTCCCCGCCCCTCTCGGCCCCTTGTGGCCCCTCTACGGCCCCGTTGCCGCCCCTAGCTGCCTCGTCGCCACTTCTGGAGGCCCCGTCGCCGCCCTTCGTGGCCGCCTCGCCGCCCTTCGCGGCCGCCTCGCCGCCCTTAGCGGCCCCGTCGCCTCCCCGAACGGCCCCATCGCTGCCTCTACCGGCCCCGTCGCCGCCTCTATCGGCCCCTTCACCGCTGAGCCGCCTAGCAACCCACCAGCCGAGCCGCCGAGCCGCCCTGCAACCAAGCCACCGAGCCGCCCAGCAGCCAAGCCGCCCAATAGCCGAGCCGCCGAGCCGCCCAGCAGCCGAGCCGACGAGCCGCCCAGCAGAAGAGCCGCCGAGCCGCCCAGCAGCCGAGCCGCCGAGCCGCCATGCCGTCGAGCCGCTATTGTTCCTACCAACGCGCTCTGGCCCTACTTACTCGGACAGGTGAGATCACTCCTTGCTAGGCCACTGCAGTCATGGCTACCCCCAGTGTCCTTACCTTTGATGCTCAGGGTCGTGCTGTTGACTTTGAGGACTTGGTCGATGACCTCCAGCTGTTCCTATAGTGTGATAGGGTAGACGGACTCTCCCTATTCAATCTCACCTCTGGTGCCTCTCATGCCCCGCGTACTACTGCTAACAGCACTACTCCCTCACAGTGGGCCACACGCGATGCTGCTGCCCGTCTTGCTGTGCGTTGCCACTTACCGACCACTGAGCGTGCACACTTTAGCCAGTACAAGAGTGCTCAGACCTTGTACGACGCTGTAGTTGCACGCTACTCTTCCCCTGCCACTGCTGCTCTTAGCCGCCTCATGCTACCGTACCTGTTCCATGACCTTGCTGCCTTTCCCACAATCGCTGATCTCATTATACACCTTCGTACTAGCGACAATCGCTACCGCGTAGCGCTACCTGCTGAGTTCTGTGCCAAGAACCCCCCCCTCCCCCCATGTACATCACCCTCTACTACATAGTCACTCGGCTCCCTGACTCCCTTCGCTTAGTCAAGGACCACTTCCTCTCAGTTTGCCCCACCACACTCACCGTTGACCTCCTCGAGGAGCGCCTCCTAGCAGCAGGAAAAAGCATAGTCGCTGTAGGAGCCTCTCGTGCTGACCCTCGCACCCCCGTCTTTGAGGGGTGTTCCCCCTCCCCCATCTTGCCCTCTGTTGCTTCTACTACTGCGGCCGACCTCGTTGGTTTCGAGTCGGTTGGCGCTGCGTCTGCCCCTAGCGGGAGACGCCGCACCGGCAAGGGCAAGGGGGGCAAGGGCGCTGGAGGGGTTGGCGGGGGCGGTGGAGGTGGTGGTGGAGGCGGTGGAGGGGGTGGGGGTGGTGGTGAGAGTGGTGGCGGGGGTGGAGGTGTCGGTGGCAGCAGTGGAGGCGGAGGAGGCGGTGGCGGTGGCGGAGGGAGCGGAGGAGGCGGAGGTGGCGGAGGCGGCGGAGGCATCGGTGGAGCTGGTCGCGGCTCTGCGTGGTGGTCCGCGCCAGCAGCAGCAGCGCAGTCGTGAGACCCCGTCCCCCAAGCAGCTTCGTGAGTGGTACACTGGGCGTCAGCGAGGTGGGGGTACTGGATGCTGCACCTACCTCCTCCGTACCGGCGACCGCGCTGATATGCAGTGCGGGGGCCCGCACTCCACCCAACGCTACTTCGGCCGCCTGACGAACGCGTGACTCACCAGTTCCCTGACGCCACTGAGATACCTTGATGGGGAGAGCTGTCTAGGGCGGGGGTTGCTATCTTTGATCTTGATTATGATGCTATTCTTGTTGCCATGTATGTTGTGTCTACTAGTGATGAGGGTGACCGTTACCTGTGTGTTCTGCCTGACCCGGGCATTGAGGCTGCTGCTCTAGGTGCTAGTGCCTATGCTGCCCCAGATGCTGGTGAGTCTGCTCTCTCAGGTACCACGTCGGATCAGGCCTTACACACCTTCACCCTTGACTCGGGTGCTTCGCGCTCCTTCTTTCGAGACCGCACCACGCTTATACCGCTAAGTCGGCCGGTTACGGTCTCCCTTGCGGACCCCTCTGGGGGCCCTGTCCTTGCTAGCTTCTCCACTGTCTTACCGTGCCCAGCGGCCCCCTTTGTTACCCTGTCAGGTCTCTACCTCCCCTTGTTCTCTACGAACATGGTGAGTGGAGCTGATCTACAGGATAGGGGGGTTGACCAGTTCACTCGTGCGAGTCAGCGGGTGACCCACTATACGTGTGCTCGGACGGACGGACACTTCGCCACGTTTACCCGTCAGCTTGTACACACTGACTAATGAGTCTCCTTTGGTTGTTGAGTCTAGTCAGGTAGCTACGTTGAGTCAGGTGTTTGCTGCAGTGTCCAGGTCTGGTCCTGAGTCTGTACCTTGCTCGTGTCGTCTCATGTCCCACCAGACTCTCCTCTAGCACCCCCGCCTTGGTCACCCCTCCGTGCTTCATCTCTAAGGCATGGCCTCCCGTGTCCTTGTCTCTGGTCTTCCCCGGTCCCTACCTCCCCTACCTCCGGGGCCTGCCCCAACCTCCGTCCCCTGCGTCGAGTGACGACAGCGCACCACCCCTCACTCCTCCGAGTTTCCTCCGACAGAGGCTCCGCTACAGACCTTCCACATGGACGTGTGGGGCCTCGCTCGCGTCCGTGGCCACGGAGTTTTCCTCTGCCCGTTTGGGAGCCTTTTGTCGTGCACAAGGCATCCGCCAGACCTTCATGCTGGCGACCTCTCCACAGCAAAATGGGATTGCTGAGCGCCCCATTGGCATGGTCATGGATGTCGCCTGTACGTCCATGATCGATGCGGCTGCCCCCCATTTTCTGTGGCCGTTTGCGGTTCAGTGTGCTGCGCATCAGCTCAACCGTTAGCCCCGGGTCTCCTTGCCAGAGACCTCCCCCACCTTGCGGTGGACCGGGAAGGTTGGCGATGCGTCTGCGTTTCAGGTCTGGGGATCTCGGGTGTTTGTCCGCAACTTGTGTGCGGACCAGCTGTTCCCCCGTGCTGTTCCTTGCGTCTTCCTTGGCTTCCCCCCTGACGCGCCTAGGTGGCAGTTTTACCACCCCACCTCGCGCCGTGTTCTGTCCTCCCAGGACGTCACCTTTGACGAGTCGGTGCCTTATTACCGTCTCTTCCCCTATCGCACTGCACCCCTCCCCACGCCGCCGCTCTTCCTTGCGCTAGGTCCTCACCCGGTAGACCCCCTCCCCCCTCAGGGTCTTGCACCGTCAGGTGTGTCCCAGGTAGACGCACTCGAGCCTGTTTAGGTAGCTCTTAACTCTAGTGCTGCTAGAGGTGGTGAGCTTGGGGGTGCCGGTTCTGGAGGTGCTGAGCCTGGGGATGCGGAGCCTGGGGTTGCTGGTTCCAGGGGTGCTGAGTCTAGGGTTGCTGAGCTTGAGGGTGCTGAGTTTGGGGGTGCCGTGCCTGGGGGTGCTGAGTTTGGGGGTGCTGAGCCCGGGGGTGCTGAGTCTGGGGGTGCGGAGCTTGGGGGTGCTGGGTCTGCTCGTGTGGCCTCTCGCGGTGCTTTGTCGAGGCGGGAGCTACTCTCTCCGCAGAAGCTGCGCGAGTGGTTTGCTCGGCGCTAGATCTGTGCTGCTGGAGCTCGAGGTACTACTATTGCAGCTGGTCCTGGAGGTGCTCATACTGGCGATACTGGAGCTGCTAGGACTGGGGGTGCTGCTGGGGCTGCTGGAGTTAGTCCTGATGGAGGTACTGCTGGAGCTGCAAGCAAGACTGGAGTTGACAATCCTGCTGGAGTAGGTGCTGCTGGAGCTCCTGGACCTGGAGCTGTTGAGGGTGCTCGCGCTGTTGGTTCTGCTGGCACTGGTGCTTCTGAGGGTGTTGGAGTTGGCCCTGGTGGAGCTGGAGGTGTTGCTGTCGCTGGTGCTGCCGCTAGGGGTACTGGAGCTGTCCCTTCTGGTTCTGGAGGCCCTGCGCGGCCGCGGCCGTACTTCGTTCGGCTCCTTGAGCAGGTTCTTGGTCTCCCGCCCTCTACTGGTCCTGCTCCTCCCTTAGAGTGTCCACAATCTGTCCAGTCGCGGTCACAGTTACAGCCCGCCTCCCCCCTACCTGCTCCTCCCTACACTGGTCCTACTGGAGGTCTTACTGAGCGTCGTGGGCATGCGTCTCGTCCTGCGTTGCCTGCTCGTGCTGCTCTCACTAGTGGTCGTGCTCCACGTCCGCGTCCTCCTGCAGTCCCAGGCACACACCAGATGGCACTGTGTCCTTCCACTGCTCCTCTGCGTGTCCCGTTGCCGTCTCCTCCAGAGTCCTCTCTTCTTGTTCTTGCTGACCCGGAGTCTGACTCTCTTCGTGCTGCCAGTCCTACTGTCATGCATCTCCTGGCTACTGTTGTCAGTAACCCTTCCTTTGAGTCCACTGCTACGTCTGCCCTAGTTGCTGAGCTCGTCGACTTTGCTGCGTCCCCCTAGTCCTCTCTTCCTGTTCTTGCTGACCCGGAGTCTGACTCTCTTCGTGCTACCAGTCCTACTATCACCCATCTCGTAGCGACTGCTGTCTCTGAACCTTCCTTTGAGTCTACTGCTGCGTCTACCTTAGTCTCTGAGCTTGTCGACTTTGCTGCTCGCTGTCCTCTAGATTACGCCGCTAGTCCCATTCCTGTGTCTGAGTCTGTCTGTCCTCTGTCCATCGGGGGTGAGTGTGCTTTTAGCACGAACGTCCTTGAGGCTAGGCAGGAGGAGTTCTAGTGTTTTTCTGCTGCTTTGCCTCATCTCGTGTCCATGCTGATTGCCCCTGAGGGAGAACCGGATGCACCAGACATCCCGACTCCTCAATCGTACGCTGAGGCGATCGAGGGTCCCTACTCCTCTCAGTGGCAGTCAGGCATGGACACAGAGATGGCTTCCTGGATGTCCACAGGGACCTACGTCGACGAGGTTCCCCTACCTAAGGCAAACATCGTTAGTGGCAAGAGGATTTTCAGTGTGAAGCGGCCGCCGGAATCTCCGCATGCTTTCAAGGCGCGTTACGTGGCTCGAGGCTTGCTAGTGAGATACCAGCGTCGCTGGTCGGCACGTCAACGGTTGCCCTCATCGATTCTCGCTCGTGCCCTTCCTCTCTCCACCAGGCGCGGCGCTCTTCACTGCCGCCACGTCTGCATCACTCTTCACGGCACGCCTCCCACACTCCGGTGTTTCTGCTGGGTCTACCGCTGTGGCCAAGTCCCTGGTGTAGTGTGGAAGGGGAAGAGAATAGTTGGGCGTGTAAAATCTTGATGCAGAATTCGTTTGTGTGGAGATTATGCTGCTATCTTGACATGCGAACGAACACCCTTGTTCTGCACCTGAAGAGCCAGCGTTAGCAAAATATCTCTGCTAGCACATGCGTGTGGTAGTACAACTTCTCTTCTGTAACTGTACAAGGCTTGAGAATTGTGCTTCAATTTGTAACTGGTCCATCCCTTTCCTCCCCATGCGCCCGGCCCCTGCCATTCCCCTTGCCAGCGAAGTATGTGACAAAGCTGCGTCCCACTAAGCTCAAAGGAAAAGTTGTCGGCGACCAAGGTGCATCAGGGAAGTTTATCCTGAAGGCTGTAAGGTACGTTGTTATGTGGTATTTACGACTACTGTTGCGGCTACCAAATTGTTCCCCACTCCTGCCATATGCCTTCCCTATCCCTCTTCATGTCGTGCTGGCAGTTACTCAGAAACATCATACTACGGTACATATTATATCGAGATCTTAAATGTCAGGTCAGGGGGAAAGACGCCTACCTTCAGCACCGGGCTTTCTTGCGCTGCCACTGCCATAGGCCTAGATGGTCAGTTTGTGAGAAACATCACGAGTGTAAAGTCTGGTCGCCACAAGCACTACAGTTTTATTCTTACATACGCTGATGTACTAACGAGTCTGGTTGACGTTCAGCTTGACATTAATAGTGCACTAGCTGCAGGCCTTTTCGTTAGGATTGGGTATGAGTCAAACTTTCAGGCACTCTGTGGGAAGCTCAGGAAATTGGTGTATTGTTTGGTTGGCAGATGCTGTTTTTTGTTCATTCTTCCCAAGCTCAGGTCCTCATCCTGCCCCCGATCTTAGGGTAAAACTAGTTTTATTATCCTTACGGCTGTATAGGGGGAGCAGGCCCCCAGAAGTCAGAGAAATTTGTCTAATTTGCATGAAAAAAATGAGAATTCAGATGTTTTTTTTTGTTTTTTTTTGTTTTTTTTTTTGTTTTTTTTTGTGTTTTTTTTTTAAGTGAACTCTGTTAAAATCGGAGATTTTAGGGCCCCAACTCTGTAATTTTCAGAGAAATTCTAAAGATAACTCTTACGTTTCAGAGGTTTCCATGAGTGTACTCTGATCACTCAAAGTACAAACGCGTACCGATTGCGTTTTCTGCTTGCAGTCTAACTGGTGATTTGGTTCCGACTTCACGGGTCACAACAAATTCGCCAAGTCAATGCAAAATCAGCTTGAAACAGCAAATCTGCGGCTTACAGCACAGCATTTTCACCCAATCACAGAAAAATCACCCTGACACAACAGATTTGCGTTGTCAAAGCACAAAACTTTCGACCAATCACCTTGAATATTCACCTGACATTGCAGATTCGCCCTTTCACACCACAAAATTCACCCTGACACAGAAATTCGCCCCGTCAGAGCAGGATCTTCTGAAAACCCCCCTAATCTAGCATGTTTCGATATTACATGAAACATTGAATACATTTCTGATGAAACATTTGACTCAGTGATGATTCAGACTTTTCTTCTAAGGCACTATGAAATTTCAGCTTTTTGTTTTTTTTATACCGACTCTGAGGGTTTCAAACTACAATTTTGTACTATTCTGATGAATTTGACAGGCAAAAAACGAATCTGAGGGCCTGGGGGGGAGGAGGGTGTTGAAATATACTATACGGTATGTATAAACTGCTTGTAGCAGTAGTTAGTGTAGTGTACATGGTTTGTAGGTGGTGCACCTTCTTTGCCATGTTTCTTCTTTAAACTTGTTACGAATAGTGATCAATGAAACATCAGTGTGCACTCCTCACCTCATAAAACGAAGCACGCACTATTAAGGTCGAAGACGAAAGAGTGGAAGTAATGCGAAGGGACGTACGGTTACGAGGAGCATCTGGACCGTCGAGCAGACACCATCAGGCAGCAGCAGTGGCAAGATTCTGCCCGAACAATTCCGTAACCACCCGGAGTCGCACGGTTGGATTTTGCCGCAACAAGGGAATGTACCCCTTAGAGTACATGGCTAGCTAGGTCGTTTCGAATTCCCTTGTTCTCTTATTTACATTCCTTGTACTGCATGTTTTTAA